CATGGAACTGCTGTTTTCCAACAACTATAGATAGTCTAAAATTTAAATCCCTACAGAATGTGAAAAAAACTATTACACATTTTTACACAGAAATTTAGAAATCAAACCATATACAACATTGTAGCTAGACAATCCTATGACTTTTTTTTCTTGTCTCTTGTTTTCTCTTAATACTTTTTTTTAAAACAAACATTTCCTTTAAAGAGAGTATAGCAATAATTGATATGACATTAGAAGCAGTAGGCATTTAGCAGACCAAAATGACAGGTATTTCAAGCATGGTTTTAGTATTACACGTTGCTATCCTCAGTGTAGTTGCTTAGTTCACAGATATCAGCATGCAGAGTCACTCAGGGTGAGAGTTCTATCCATTAACTGCTATTTTCAAAAAACCGATGGAAATTCTTAGGACCATTGCCTTAACCATCTTGTTTATATAAATATATGGTTTTGCCCCTGCCATATTTCCTAACTTTTCTCCTTGCTCTCTTTTTGATGTTCAGTCCTTAAGTTCTTGCCTTCCACTTAACCGTGTTACACCTTTCAATTTTTATTTCTTCTTTTGAATTCTTACACTAGGGCGACTATACGATATTTACACATGTGAGTCTGGTTTATTTCACTTATGAATATATACCTTTTACAATAGCACCATAGAAAATGAAATACTTAGGAATTAATCTAACTAAAGAAGTAAAAGATCTATTCAATGAAAATTACAGCACTCTGAAAAAAGAGATCCTAGAGGATTTCAGAAAATGGAAAGATATTCCCTGCTCTTGGGTAGAAGGAAGCAACATTGTGAAGATGGCCATACTCCCAAAATTGTTATACACATTTAATGCAATCCCTATCAGACTGCCACCAACATGCCTCACAGATCTAGAGTAATCTATTCCTAAAATTTATTCGGAACCAGAAAAGACCTAGAATAGCAAAGACAATGCTGGGCAACAAAGGCAAAGCAGAAAGCAGTACAGTTCCTGACTTGAAATTATACTACACAGCTACTGTATAAAATTACGTGGTATTGGCAAAAAATAGACCTGAGGCTCAATGGAACAGATTAGAAGAT